ATTAAACATGACTATATAATTCGTGTGTTGTAGATAATATTTCAACATAGTATGTATCGCATAATAAGAAGTTCATGCTGACGCCACGGACCATCGACGTAAGCGTAGCATTCAACCTGTTAAGCAATTATTGCCGTTAAGGATCACTGGCATGCTTCGAAGAATTATTTAGATTTTTCAGTTGAAAACAAAATATGTGCAGCAACATCTTTTTGTAATTTTCACTACAATTAAAAAGTATGATCTGTTCCCTGATATAGTTAGATTTTCTCCTAGACCGTTAATTAAGATAAATTAAAAAATATATTTAAGTATTATAAATATTATGAATATTATTATAATAGTGTAAAACTATATATTATTATACATGTTTTTAAAAGAGTATTTTAATTTTTACGATTAAAACATCAAAAAAAAATTATTATTAAGTTAATAAAAATTGAGAACTATTAGTAATTATTTTTATCCGAACTGATTTTTTCAAAAATTGTTGATAATAGAGAAAAACGATTTTCATATTAATATTCAATAAATATAAAACTCTAAAATACTGTTGTACAGTATAAATGTCAATGTGTATGTACTGTTCTTATCGTGTTCGCAAGTACAGTCTGACTCTGAATACCGGAAACAATAAAACATAAAATATAAACTAAAGTCTAAAGTCTAACGTGATCAATAGTTAAGTTATATTCTATTGTTGGTTATGGGAGATAATTTTTTAAAATTTGAAGAATATATTATTTCGCTCGAATATATTATTTATCTTAATTGCAGTTTGCTTAACCGCCGGACTTTGTCTAATTATTCCAAAGGCAAAATTCAAATCGATACTTTTGTTCTTAACGTACTCAGATTGTTCGATAGATCAAATCAACATCAAATTTCGCTTCGAAATTAGTTTAGTACCGTATAAAAAACATTAAGCAATTATTGCAATAACGAAGTTTTGCAAATTGTTATACAACATTCGTGTATCAGATTCTCAGAAAAGAACATGCGTGCACGTTCACATTCTTGTGAAGTATACACATTAAATGTGTACTAACAATTAGTCACTGAGATACATTGTTAATTATTGAGATTAATACTAAACCTACCGTACTCGGTCAAAATGTACCCGGTACCCCTTAAAAAAAAGTTATTGTTTTTATAATTAAACGTAGATAATAGTCAATTTGTTACCGAATGAATAAATAAACAAACAACTTTTCTGTGATACAAATTTGTTTTTATATAATTTCAATTATAAATTTGAAAAGAGAATTAAAAATGAACGGTAGTTACATAGTTTCTTTCATTCATATACATAATATATACACTGCATTTTTTACAAATTATTTTGTTCTCAAATGTACGTCTGCCGCATACATATTTTTTGCACCTCAAACAGATTTTCGTAGTTTTGTAATCTTTACAATATCTTACTTGACAAGTTTTTCGTACGTGAGAATCTGAACTTGTATTTGTTGTGACGGTTTTGATACATTTTCTTTTTCTCGCGATTCTTGATACGCAGCGCCAAGTTCTATAGCGCTAACTGGAATAAAAATTCCCGTCTTGAAGTTTTTTCTCCCGTTTCTTTACACAAGCATACAAAACCCAGGCATTTGTTCCAGCTAGGTCCAAAATATTGAAAAATACCTAGAGAGGCCACCTATAAGATTTCGATTTCACGCTGTATTTTCTTGCCAAGTGGTCCGTCATGTCTACATTAAATTTTGTACTATTATAAAATCTAATCATTTCTATTGAGTTATGCATGTAACTTAGTAGAAGTACTTTTTTATTTGGTTTGTTTTTATACACTGTAAAAGAAACATGGTTTAATTTATAGTTTGCTTGAAGAACGTGTCATATTGTCTTTCCGCTGTTTGGCGGAAATTTTAGGCAATTCTCTTTTATTTCCACGGATGGTTCCAACAGTAGTAGTCCTTCTTGCAAGTAGTTTTGTGGCCAGTGAAACACTCGTAAAAAAATTGTCTGTTTTTTCCGCACCATTGTGAATGGTTTTATCAGCTTGAGAATAACGGGAACTAAACGTTTCATTATACAATGATCGTGATCAAAGAAAATGCAGTCTTTACTTTTTCTTTCATGATATGTCGTGTTTAGCATATCCTAATCAAACACTTTCCTAAAAATATTATGAACTGGTGTTCTTCCAGGTTTGGAACCTTCGTCTATTTCTTCCCAAACTGTTCCATCAGAAGCAGTTTTGGTTCTCTACATTACTCTCACTTTCAGAATTCAATAATAATCTCCTTCTCTTTTGTCCTCGATGCTTATTTATAATATTCTTCTCTTCGTTATCGCTGTCTGAGGACTCTAATTCGTCTGTTAGGTGCAATACTTTATCGTCTCTTTGCATGTTGTCTTCATGCAAAGTTTCGAAAAGTTTTTGTTCGTCAAAATCCGAACAGTCTTCATCTATGTTGTTTATTTTTTCTAATGACGTCATATTTTTGGAACGCCTTGACATTTCCAGGGTAAATATTCACCACACAATAATGCACTATGTACGAAATACAAAATTTATGTCAAAGTATAGCTGCTTTACCTTTTCTTTCTTCAAACTAGCACTTGTAATATGAAATTGCAAATGAAACACTTTAGAACTATTATACTGCGATGCTCTTTCCTCGAGTTATAAAATTGTACTGTGTTGTCACCCACCTTTGCGGTTGGGTGCATTTGCCATGAAACAATGTTATCAATCATTCACACTTGATAGCGTCTCGTTCAATGTAATAAGAAGACTCATTTCTTTCGAATTGGTCATGCCACATTCAGATGAGCCGTTCTTTTGTATAAGTTTAAAAGAGTAAATACCATACTTTCTCGACCGATCAGGTAGAATAGGCTATATATATTTCTCAGGCAAAAAATAAATAAAATGAAAAGTAAATACTGAAAAACACATTGTATGCATATTTTAAGAAAAGCTGTAAAGTTTGATAGCGAAGTGATAACGTTTAAATGTGTGAAAGTTGTACAAAAGGAAGAATATATATATATATATATATATATATTTAAGGATTTATACTTATTTACGTACAAAAATCTATTTTTAAACAATTTTAAACCTTTGCGGTCATATTAAATTTGGACATGGGTGTCGTACTGGTCGGAATTAATTTCCGTTGAAAGAGCAGTGATACATAACATGCAAGATTATAAAGAATAAACAAGATTTATTAATTCTTTTATGAACTTTAGATACATGTTTACACAATAATGTGTTTTAATGTAACGTTTTTATGTAAAAATTATATTTTATAGCTCTCCATCGTGTGGTACCTTTCTAAACAGTCTACAACATGCAGTCCTGGTTTTCGATTACATGTATCGCAAAAATAATTAGTTTGGCGTCTTCCGCCCTTGATCTTTCTGTTTGAACATACAAAACAATCTTCACTCTTTACATCTTCACAGTGCAGCAATATATGTAGTTTGCCATTAAGCCTTTCCTCTTTATCTGAGGCCGATGGTCTTCTTAGTTTTGAAGATGCTCCATCACGAAAATCACCTACAAGTTGTTCCACTAATTTTCGGACAAACATACAATGTGACATAAGCGTCCTGTTCTCTCTTCTAGCTGACACTTTACATAAGATGTAGCTATTGATTGCACAAACCTCTAATCCCCAGAAAAAAATTTTTCTCCACCATTTGCAAGATTTTCTCATAAAACAATATGAACTTGCTAATTGGTCAGCCTTATCGACCCCTCCCATATTCATATTGTAATTTATAATAACATTTGGTTTGCTAATGTTGACGGTGCCAGCTTTTTTCACCCTTCTTTCTATAGTTTTCGTGCCGGAGGTATCGTAGCTGCTTAGTATGGTGACTATTCTCTTATCTTTCCACGCTAATAACAGAATATCACCTGATCGATAGGCAGCAACAGTATTTTTTGTTACAGCTGGTTTTTTAATCACAGCTGGTATATATTTTCTGTTTTGTTCTAATTGTATCGGTTAAATAGCAGCTTAGTTTTAAAAGCTCCTGCGCTAAT